GTGCTGGTGATGGTGATGGTGATGGTATGAACCACGGCGATGACCTGGCCAGTGGCGATGACGATACGATCATGGGTGGGGAGGATGAGCAGGAGGAGGAGGAGGAGGGGGAGGACGAGGAGGAGTAGAACTAAGACGATCGAAATCGCGAAGATAACCATGAAGAAAATCATGATCACGATGATGATGATGACGACGACGACTGTTGGTGAGCAATGGGGGCCACGAGCAGCAGCACCGGCGGAAGCAACAGCATTGTGATGACAACGATGACCATTGCTTTGCTTCTAATGTGGTTTAATGTTGTGTTGCGACAGTTCTCGTTCTATCTACTGCCGTGACTTATTGTGTTTTCTAAGTGCTTGACGAACCTGGGCCTCGCACGCCAACTCGTCCATTATGCCGTTAGAGAGCAGGTTGTCGAGCACGTCACCGCCGGCGCAATACTCAAGAACCAGATACCTGCAACCCGTCAGGAAATAGCTCCGAGGCCGGAAAGTGCTGGAGCTGCAGAAAGACACGCTTAAAAAGCTCAGGCGAAAACATCCCAACACCTTGCACTGCAACCATGGCGCAAATAGTCGTCGTCCTCGAATGTTTCCTTGGTGCGGCGAACACCTTCTATTCGTGTTCTCGGAATAAGCACAGAAAAGTCGGGTTTCTGCCTGAAGGCGTTTTCGCCACAGGCGCCAGATATGTGTGCAATCTCACTTCTGGTTTGGAGCGATCTGCTGAATTGTGTAGCACTCATACTACATTGTTTTCAAAGTCAGCTGGATGCTTAAGCTGCAGACTGGCTTACACTACAAGCGCCTTGAGCTTGTGGCTGCTATGCTGTTTTACAACGGCTGAAATTCTTGATCTTTTATCCTTTCATTTCGAGGGTCGAAGAGCTTGACGATGTTGGGGTGATCCAAGGTCTTCATGATTGCCACCTCCTGGATGACACGGGCAATCTCTCCGGCACCTCGCGCAAAGTTACTTGGATGTCCGTAGGGTTGGCTGATGCACTCACATATTCGATTCTGAACCCAGGCGAAGTGCTCTTCTTGGCAATCCGCTTCACGGCCCGCACTGCCTCGCACGGTGCAGACTGATTTGGAGGCCTCCTCTATGACGCGGCACAAGTGCTCTCTTCGCCGCAACCCAGGCTGGAGCGAGGCTCGGGAACTCCTGCGGGCCTTGGTTGCCAGCTCTACGGCCCTGAACACCTGGGCTGATCCGCCAGCATTGACCTTAGCACGAAAACGAAATCTTGGTAGCTCTACTCGGGGGATGCAAGCGTAGGGTGAGAGCTTCTGGCTTCGGTTCTTGTGCACCAGTGAGTTTGTGACAGCAGAGATGCTAATAGCGGATCTTCCAACAAGATCTCCACCCTAAAGCCGATTGTCTCAAAAAGGATAGCAACAGAAAAGAATGCTTTACCCGAGGGCCCCGAACGGAAAAAGTGGACCTCTACGTCTTTCCGTCGTTTTCTACTTCAAGTCGGTATCACCCCGAAGGCGCATCTGCGAGTCTTTAGATGGAGACCCAGGCCCAAGCCAGACGTCGCCATTCTGAGCCGCAGGCCTCCTCGTGCACCTGGTAGAAGTCATCCTTTGCTCGTGAACAAAACTCTGGCTTCAGCTGCCAAATATCTCTGGGGCCCAAGGTTTAATACTGATCCTCATGCAAACAAGTCTGTGAAAGAGGGTTTGGCAGAACCCTATTCTACAAGTGAAGGGGCTGTAGAGTCGTTGTCGGTGAAAGCTTGGATTCCAATGCCCTGCTTCGGTTCAACAAGACCCCTGAAGCACCTTTCAAGTTGCAAACCTGCTTCGCCCTTATGCTGCAGAAATTTGTCTGTCGCTGGCAAAGGGGAAACGAGCACAGCTGTCAAGGCTGCAATCCAAGTGGCAATGTCGCCAGAGTTGTTGATGATGAAGCCTCACTGTTGCTGGGCACGGTGAGATTTCAAAAAGACGAATGATTTGGGTGGTTTGCTGAGTGTGACGAACTTCTTGTATAGTGGTACTGATGCTGCCCCCACAGCTTGCACCCTGCACCCGGAAATTCAAACCTTGGCTCATCAATCCCGAAGATTAAGGGTCTCATTCCAACTGGCAGCCGCGGCACAGTGGATGCCAAAGCCCGGGCCCTCGGCACCCGACTTCTTCCCTGCCAGCTGCACCTTTGCTGCGTCGTGAAGTCTGAAGCTTTTCTCGAAGATGGGCTGCCGGGCATCCTCACTTCCCAAACCCAATCTTTTCAACTGCAACCTGGCCTGGAAGGGTTTGCGTCTCGTCTAATCACGAGACATCATCTGCCCAGGCGCCCCTTTGCGACGCTGCTTCTTGCTGCGCTTGGCATATGCCCCCCCTGGCAGGAGTTCGGGATCCAGTGACGAAAAAAACGAAAAGGTCCGATGCCCAATACCCTCGACCACAAGCAGCAGCGCAATATTTCAGATCCGGCGTTTCAGGGTTTATGTCGGGGGAATCGGTGCTTAAGGCTTGAAGGTTGGTGCCCTGTTGAGGTATTCGACTTTCAGAAACCGTTTCAAGACCCCCAGGCCCCGAATGTTCCGCTGAGGTTGCCTCCATCTTTGGCGAACCAGGCATCGAGGATGCCACGCATGGAATTCCACATGCTTTCGCGCACTTGGTCCGGGTGCCGGGTAAACACCTGAGTCTGGAGTAGATGGTTTGATATGGCTCTCGATGTGACAAACCAGACCCGTCTTGCGTGTAGGCACGGAAAAGGCTACGGTTTGCATGGCTCTGGTGCACCAGTACAAACCACAGCTCTCGTGAAATCGCCCAAGCCATTCACCCACGTGGATGGTCCCTGGATGGCATTGAAAATGAAGACCCACCCTTATTCCTTCAGTTCGAGCCATTTCTACACAGATTTGAGGGGCAGCAGTGGGACTCTCCATACATAGAACCACTAAGCCCATCAAGATAGTAGTTATGAGTTATGAGCCTATTTACACAATGAATCCTTGACGGTACATGGTAGCTCCGATCTCCAGACCCGCTGAGCCTGGTTCACGCACTTACCTTCAAAGCTTCAAGGAACCGGGTTGAATCCCACAATCAATACTCATAAGCATGCTTCAGGCTTCAGAGGTCGAAGCCTGAACTCTACGACTCTATAAATCCTGTGACTCAAGGTTCAAGAGTTCGAACCTGGCAGTTCAACGAATTCAGAGTTTGGCGAGCGTTTTCCGCAGGGATCGTTAGAACTCCTCCCCATTGACCAAGGATGGCCGCAGGTTCAGGGCGCCATCGATGGCTCGAAAACAAGCGGCAACTGCCACCTGGACCGCAATCCCAAGCTGAGACCCCTCATAGATTCCCAGGCGCCAATCCCCACCAGTAGGCCCTCTCCCCGATTTTTCCAGCAACCCAGCCTTGAGCCCGGTCTTTTGCGGAGCCTGTGGCTGCCTCGCCAAGACCACCCCCTGCAGAAAAGGGGTGGGCTGAATCCTTGGAGCTTTACGAATGCAAAACAAAGATGTCTTTAAGATTGGGTTGACCAAAACCTGCAGAGACCCAAGAAAAGGATGCTCAGAGCAGGGCTGGTGGCCGCGGAAACGCAGAATCACTGAGGCGCGCAGTGGGAAGCCACTGGCTCCGGTCTTGATTTCCTCGAAGATCACACTCCGTCCAAGTCACAACACCATGCACCGCGGAGGCACCCCTGAAAGCCTGGAGTGTGACCACGGGGCACCGCAGCATCTTCGGAAAGTTCGTAGCGAAGTCAACTTCACAGAGGGTGAGGGCCTCGCTCACGACGCAGTGCTCGACTTGCCAAAGGCTGCAGGCGAAACGGTGGTAGGCATTCTCGGAGGCTCTCGTCCAGGCTGGATGCAGCTTGTTGATCCGAGAGACATCCACGCCACAGACCTCTTCACAAAAGAAGTTTCCTCTCTGGCACAGGCGGACTTCCACTAGAACAAAAGAAACCATAGGTGGCGGAAGGCTAAGCTCTCCAAGCACAAACCATCCCTGCGCGGCACCTTCCCACACCCCACAGGCCCACAAGGCCCCACACCTCTGCTGTGACGGGCTGTCGGCGCTGCCAGAGGCCAGCACAGGACAACAGAGCCGCCCGCACCCTGAAACCTCGACAGGTCGCATGGCAGGGCAGGGCTTCCGGGCACTCTGCGGGCGACGGAGTTCAACTTGTCTGTTCCTGGAAAGCTCCTCTCTTCAGCTTAATGCTGCTAATGCTCACATCAGACCATGCTCAAGAAGCCTCTGGGCATCAGCACGGCACCGCGTGCCAGGGTCCAGCGTAAAGCATCCACCTGGGACCCGACTGAGAGGCGACGGGAAACAGGCGTTGAGCTAAGGATCTACTCAGGAGAAAATACACGCGGTCAGCCTGCGCCCAGTGCTGCCAGAAATGGGCATCACAGGCCATTCCCTCGCACTCGGAGGCATAGGGCTCCCCACAGATCCTAGGCGCTGTTGTTGTGTACGGTGGCATTCAAAAGAGGCCATCAAGAGCAAAACACAAGCAAATAAAAGACAAGACACAATAGGTGGAGACACCCTCACAAGGCCAGACTGTAATCTACACTCTACACCAGAGACACGCCAACCGCCTCTCAAACAGCAACGCTAGTTGCAGCTTCATCCTACAACCGCAACACGAACCAGAAATGTCTGCAAAGAAAGCTTGCCAAAGTCAGATGCCCGTCTCATGCGCACGCTTTCCGGCGCGAGGCTGGGGCTGCAAATCAGCGGCTGTATTTGGCAGAACCTGGAAGCCGCTGGGGATCTGCAAAGAACTTTCGAAACCTTCCAGCCCTCACTCGGCTCGAAATGCAGGGTTTCGGCTTTTTTGGTTCTTTACCTGGTGGAGTGGGTGCAAAGCTGTGGCTTCTAGGCGGAGGGGAACAGAACTTCACACATAAACCAGAAGCCGATGCCAACCAACCAACAAGCAAAAACGATGACCCATTCTCAACTGAGCACTCCAAGAACGCAATGTGAGTAAGTCAAAGCTTGGACTCGAATCCTCGGATCTCAGTTTGCAGGCGAGGTGCCGGGGCTTCCACAAACGTCCCCGGCCCGACTTGAGCACATCCAAGGCGGCGCCCAGGCCCGTCTAGCAATGCAACGGTTGTTCGTGCTTCAATGCAGGTTTAAGAGGCCGAGGCCCGGTGTCCGAGTGTCCGCTGGATCTCGGCCCCGCATGCCCCGCCTCAGAGGACTCGAAGCTCAGGATGGTCGGCTTGCGACCGGCGATCCGCAGCAGCCGGCGGAGGCGCTGAGATCTGGGCCGCCGAAGACCCTGACATCGTCTTCGGCAGGTCTTCAGCTCCCCCTCCCTCTCTCTTTCTCGCTCTCTCTATCTCTCGCTCTCGCTCTGGCTCTCGCTCTCGCTCTCGCTCTCGCTTTCGCTCTCTCTCTCTCTCTCTCTCTCTTGCTTGCTTGCTTGCTCGGGGTATGGGTCCCCGGGGGAACCCTGGCCCGAAGGCCTACCCCCAAGGCGCGCGAATGTCCGTCAGTACACCCCTTTTTGGGGTTGAGTGGTGTCGTGTTCCCCTGACTGTGCCCCTGTTAACCCCCCCCCGAACAGACACCCCTTCTAAGGCCGTCACCACT